CGACCAACCACTTTGTGTGAATATCGCTACACTCTTGATATCTTTCTCTTTTTGAGCTGCAGTCGTTCAAAGACCTGGAGTTTTCACAGATTAGAAAGAGTTTCTATCAGTACTCTGTAGTCAGTTATGCTAGTCAATCTACATCATATCTACGTTATGCGAAAAGAAAAAACATTAGATTTTTCTCCGCAAAGATTATATATCTGCATTCACTGACGCAGTATAACAAGTATAAGAGGCAGTAATCAAAACTACATTTTTTTCAATTTACTACACTCGAAAAAGGGGCTCACTTTACGCGTAAATCGACAAGAAACATCGGCAAGAAGTTTTTATGACAGTTGATTTGAGTGATCCGGGCTTGTGATTGGTCCATCGATAAAAGCCACTAAGGTGCTATGGCATTGAAAAGGTTTACTTGTTAATGTTTTAAATGGTGTAATTTGATTGGTCTATGTAAACATTCACTGATTGATAGCGCAAATTTGACCAATTTGATTGGATAACATAGATGAGAAGCCATTTAAATGTTGCCTTTGACTATGGACTTTTATCCGGTTGCGAAAATCCGGGTCGTCATAAGAGCGATCAGAGGAAATTTAGGAATAGCTAAAGTCTTTTAATACTGACAAAGATGCATGTTTCTAAAGACCTACTTTTATTGTAAAGCAATTTTGAATGTGAAGTTATAAACCAACTTTCGGTGATATTTACAATGACGCACGTCTATAACATTTATGTTCCCATCATTATAATTGTTGCTGGTTGCAGATGTTTAATTCGTCATTATCATTTTTATAATAAGCATCATATTATTGTCTTAGAATCGCGAACGATAATGAGAATTAAAATGAGAATTAAAAAAAGAAAAAGAAAAGAAATAAAACTCACATGATACAAAAACTCAGATAACACTTCTATTTTCTTTCGCAAAAACTATCTATGAGCTTTTATTCAAGAAGCTATTATCATTATTATGTAATTATTATCATTAGTACGCATGATCCTTAATTAGTCACCTAGAAATAGGRAAGGGACTCAAGAAGAATTTAAGAATTCAAGAACGCTAGAACTTTCTTTTTTTCTTTTCTGGTCATTTTCAATATCAGTGGGTTAAAGTAAAGTTTAAAAAATAAACATGAAATAGATATTACACTAATACACCTTAGCACGCTATAACTGAATTTTTTTGTGTGTCTATTTGACTATCACACTTTAATAGTTAACTTTGTTTCACAGCTAGGTTTAATGATTTCACTCTAGTAGATTAATATTTAATTAACTTGGTTTAAAACTGAAAAGACAGAGAAAAGCATAAAACGTGTCAGATAAAATTGAGCACGATTAAATCAGTGTGTTTCACGATCACGGTTTATAAAAAAATCACTCATTCTCAGACTATTATTATTGTACGAATCATCATCTTAAAAGGACACTGTCAATGGCACGCATGCGCGAGTAAACTTGAAAACACTAGGCTAGTGTTTTCAAGTTTATGACTCCAAGTTGGCGCGACATAAATCAGATCGTAAACGTAAACAGATCTAAAATATTCCAAAGTGTGTCAAAAGCACCAAAACATGATTTACCTCGAAGGTTATACTTCCAAAGTCCGTTAGAGGTGAGACTGTTACTGCGCATGCCATCCATTGACAGTGTCCCTTTATTCTTTAACCACAGCTGATATGATTAATAGTTATTGCATATTATRAAGGCTATTGATTATTATAAAGTCCTTAAGATATAACGTGGTCTCTCGTTGGACAATTACTGCGTTCATATAAGACTACAAAGATGACCGTTTTGTCGCAACTTGTTCGCTGAAAAGACTAAAAACGTCACCATGCAGAAACCTCAAAGACATTCATGACAGCATGGAACATTCTGTGCTTGCAATTTACCCTCRCTTTCACATAATAAACCCAGAATTTGAAGTTCACTTTCAAAACCTGACAACACGCCTATCACAGCAATCTTAACCTTGATATCGAATACACCGTAAAGGGTGTTATAACGTCACCGATGACGCAACAATATACAAAATGATGGTCGGTGCTGTATAAAAGTAGTCCATATGTCATGGTTATATGCAATATATTAATTGGCAGGACCGGAATCACGGCGCTRCAAATCGACATTTTTTTTGTTTGTTGAAAAAAGGAGCGAAGTAGTTGAGTGCAAATCTCCAAACTAACACTGATAAGGGCTTTTATTCTTTTACTAACTTATAAGTTTTTCGTTGTTGAGAATTGTTTTGTGGCCCAGGGGCTTGTAAGAAAACAAAAACAAAAAACAACTGGAACAAACACAAAGAAAAGCATATATTCAAAGCCACCGGGTATACCCGAAATAACGTCTGTTTAAAATTTGGCAATGTTTACGAAGCTGCACCTGAAATTGAATCGAAACACTCTTTCGTTCACAGTTTATTGATTGACGAAATTGTATCCTACAATTGCATAACTATAGCAATCGATTCTTGATTGTATATCGAATAATCATTTTGTCGTGTAACTTAAGCAGCACACTCAACAGACCAGTTTTTATTGCTTTTACAGCTGGTTTTGTGAAGAAGAAAAAAACAATGGCTTCGTCAAGTATCTCCTTTCGAAATCAGTAGCTAAATGACATAAAATACATGGATATTGAGTTAATGCTGCCGAAAATCCTTGTAAAACAAGTCAATATATTTATTTGATGAGACTAGGCTGTCTTTCAATAAGAGTTTAAACAAAAGTAAAAATAGGAAAAAGACGTGCGATTTTTTTGGATCACTGGCTTTCTTCTTACGCCGTCCTACAAGTTCTACAAGACACTTGAGAAAGCTCTGTTAAAAATTAATGATCAAGTCAAGTTTCGATATAAATCAAGCTGAATTACTGGAAATTCATGAATTTGGTGTAGATTTTAAGCGAACCAAGATGATTTCGGAGGAGTTGCAGATTATGACAGTCTAGTCGCTCGCGCGCCTTTTAAGGTGAGTAAGTTTGGGCGGGGAGGTCGAATGCTAAATATAATCACCACGATTTTGATTACTCCTATTTTGAGTGTATTCAGATCATTAACATTCCCTTCGCAATTACCTATTTTAAAGATTATAACACGGCATTATTATATATTTCATAGTTAGTCCTTAAAATGGAACTTTGAAAAGGACAGCAGAAATCGCGTCGTATCATATATATAAAAATGACAATTCTTCAGCCATGCCTTTATAAAAAAAGCTAAATTTAAATTTTCTACTGAAAACTATCTTTTATGTAATGATTGGAGCTCTTAGGTCTTGACTTTGCTAGTAAAATAACATAGGGATTGAATCAAGTTAGTAGTCCTCGCCTCCCGCTTTCAATCTTTCATACATTCATTTTTAAAACAGAAAATATAGGAGAGACKGCAAGCTATCTAAGGTTTGCTTACTTTYAGRTTTGCCAAAAAGTCTYCAATGCCGTCAGTGTGTTTTAAGGTTCATTCAAAGCCTTTCCAGTTCTATATTGAACAAGTTGACTCGCCGCGGTATTCAAATAAATGTTGTCAACAAAGTCAAAATATTACTAACTGCAAAATCTAATCTTCACCTTCCCTCGAGCCTTGTATTCCAGCTAACGATAGCATGACAAAAAAACTCCMAATTCCTCTTTGACAGGCGCCGACCTATCTGATGGAAGCGGCGAAGTTCAAATCATAAGCTTGGAGTTTGGTCCTCGGGGCTTTCAATACACAGTACTTACGACTGTCTATGAAATATTAATCATTAAAAAGGATGAAACATCCGATGAAGCGTCACTTGTATTCTGTTTGAAATGATCCAAAAGAGCAGGTTTATGATTGGTTCGTGAGATTACGTGCGGTTTTTGTGAGTGAAGGCGTTTTTCAGTATACAATTTTGCAGTTTGGGGRCAATTCATATAACATGATTGCAAAGACAGTCAAACTCAGATAACAAGTTAATACAATCTTTGCTAATAATCGTTGTTGTATATTTTGTGTTTCTTAAAACCAACGTAATATCTCTTGCAGTGTTCTGTCAAAGAACTTAGAAGATGAGACCGAAATGTTTCATGGGAAATRTCGTACTGTAGGACCATGTGCCATTTAGGGCTTCAGAATGTGTTTCTTCTAYTCGTTCGTTCCTTCAATCTTTCGTTCATGTATTCATTCGTCGTTCGCTCGGTTTGTTTCTTTGTTTGAATCAAGTTATGGCTTCGTTTAGTAACAATTAAGTATCAAGAGACACTGTAAAATATAAAATACAAACTATGCCGAATATAATGGACAACATTTTTTTTAGGAATTACAATTAACAGAAATAATTCTGCTATCGCTTCCGATAATTTCCGTGATCCTTTGAGTTAAGTTATCGGCTTCAACAAAGCACTCACTAATAGCAGTTAAACTACGTGACGGCTTCTTGTAGAACTTAGTCGTTCTTTTATTCCTTCCTTAATGCCCATCAATAACACAGCTTGCGATTTATTGCACGTGTTACAATTTACTATTTTTAACTTTTTAATTCCTTCCTTTGTTAACGATAATCGACGCAATGATTGCATGTGATTGTGCAACGTTTACCCTAATATCATCAATCATCTCAAGAATTCATTGTTAGTATTGCAGTGTACTATTCACAAAAGTATACCGACTGATGAATGGTTCTAGAACAAACAATCAAGTCTAATGAGCAGTTCATACATATAGAAAAAATGTTAAGTTTTCAGTTGATTTATTGCTTCATTTCWTAGCAAACAGATGGACGTTTCACGAATCTAGTATCTAGAATAATAACTTAGTGCGTGCGACTAAAAATGGCCGCGGGGAGACTAGGTGTTTTTGCATAAAATTAGCATATTGATTCGATCTCACGTTCAAGGGTTCGAATCTCAGCCGCGGTATCGACTCCCATGATCTTTTATATTTTTTATGTTGTTTTATCGATACCATTTGACGTTGATACTTCAATTCATCCTCGGGAACTCAGGTGTAATCTTCTACCGTTTGTTCCTTACAATGGGAGTTAAGAACGAACGAAAGAAGATTACGCCGAGTTCCCGATGAGGACTTCTCAATTTAACTGAAA